TCTCATATTTGGTTGTGTATGTGTACTTATTGTAGCGAATTTCTATTACTACAATTTATATCTTCATCCCCATGTTTGTAGTAGCAATTGCTTCATCCATTCTTCTACCTGTCAATACATTAAATTTAACTTGTTATCACTCATAGACGAAGATATTTACACAAAACAAAAAAGAAAAAATTACAATATCGTTTGAAATTTTAAATTTTGCTTATAATTAAATTGTATCTCTATTTATGATATTTGTTCAATAAAGCCCAACGATGGAAGATATAAATTCACAATAACATCAATTTGTACTTACAGTGAATACTAAATTCCTTCCCCAGTCCGAAAATTTACTGTTTTCGGTAAGCTTTGGACATTTTCTTCTTTTCTGCAAGGCACGAAACACTTGTTGTAACATTTTTTATTTCTCTTATCCCCCCATATAAACCGGCACCTAACAGTGCATATGATCTCACATGCCGTAATACTTTTAGCTTCAGTTACATCGACGACGAACATCGATAAAACTATCATATAAATAATTGCAAAAGAAAGAAAGTTCTTCATGATAGATATTTGACAAATATATGTGTGTGTGTGTTTTTATGTTGTTTGTGTAGGTGTTATTTATACTAAAAATTTACAATATAATTAATTTGATTGATTTGCAATTTTTGGCAAGTACATGTTACTATTCATTTTTAGTAAATATATTCAATTAATGTTTATAATAATTTCCATACCTAATATCAAAATATTAAATGTGTTAGTTATGAAAAATTATTATTAACATTAATTGACTATATTATACTCTCTTCCTCTATTAACAAACTATTCATTTTTTTCATTTTGGTTCATCTTATCGTAATAAAATATCAATTTTCTTTTTTTTAAGTAACTGTATTATCTACTAATATTACAAATACTCTTCGAATTTACAATATATTACACAAATTTCATTATATTTATATCATACAATACTAAAACTCCATGCAAAAAATAAACGGATAGATAGATATGGGACGGAGGGAGTATTAATATTTGTTGTGTTGATTATATATTATCTTGTGCAATATAATATATTTATTGTACTAAAATCATAGTATATTGTATTGCATGTAACGTAATTATATAATGTGCTATGAAAATATTGGTTCCATCCCACCACAGAGTACCCATTTTTCTTTTTAGTCCGTTTCATATAAGATAACTTCTTTTTATTTTTGATAAATTTAACAATTTTAAACATACTTAACAAATATAAATTAATTTAATTAAATTTCAAACATCTGACACATGAGACTCATTCAAAACCTGTATATTTCTATCTTCATCATTAATAAATAAATATTTTTATCTATATTTAAAACTTTATTTTTTTATAAAATTAGTTTTGTTAATTATAAATAAATAAATATATATTTGTATTTATTTGTATTATATAAAATTTTATTCTAAAAAAATTGATATACATATTATATATATTTTACAAAGATATAGTGTTTAAAAATATTTAAATACCTATTTCAAATTTATTTTAATCATATATATTAATTTTTATTTTAAAAATAATAACAACACTACTCATATAAAAAATAATAAAATAATCTTATAACTATTATAATTAAACTATTAAATTAAACTATCTAAAATACCTTACTTCTAACTAAATAGGTCATCTGACCAGAACGAAAGGAGTATATGTCATATATTATATTAATATGTGCTATATTTTTTTATAAATACGTACTGATTAGGTTAAATCAATACAGTAATCAATACATTTTTTTAAATAATACTATATTCTTATAGAAAGCTAACTTAAAATGATAAAATTGTATATTAGTTGTTATACAAGGTATATAAGGTTATTATCACTATTTTTATTTCTATATAAATTTTCTATAGGAATCAAACTTAAAATTATAAATTGTACTGTTAGTTGTTATATGAGATATATAAGGTAATTATCATTATTGGTGTTTCTTAATACATGCATTGTGATAAAAAGTGTTGGTTATTGATAGTGTGGTTAGACATATAAATATCGGTAAGCTACAGACACGCATACCACATGTTCGGATCAAAAAATTGTCATTACATGCATATATGATAAATTATTATTTGAAATTCAAAAACTATATTTATAATTAAAATCAAATTTAGTGTTTATGACTGGACGTTATCGGGATTATGACCAACGATTACAAGCCATTAAGAGCCAACAGTTTTGGCTCGGCATTTAAACCCCAAGGTGGAGATGCCTATAAAAGGCTCTCTCCCACCATTCTTTGAGGACACACCAATGGAATCATCTCCCTCTCGTCCTCTCTTAGAGCTTTTCCAGTGAAGTTTTCAATAAGTTGTTCGGCACAAATCCAGCAACTCTTTCTTAAATATTAAGTCTCCAAACACAGGACTAGTCCCCTTATTTTAGTTCATTGCAGCTTCGAAATATTGGGGTGCCACTTAATTCGGAGACGAACGTCGTTCTATCTTTAGGAACATTGCGCCACCAACTGGAGGCACTACCGGGGCATATTCGTTTTTACAGAAAGATGTTTTACCTCGACTCGACGTGATTATCGAATTTATTTCGATAAATTATTGTGATTATTGAATTTATTTCAATAAAACTGATTATCGGATTTATTTCGATAAAGTTATTGTAATTATCGAATTTATTTCGATAAAATTGTTGTGATATCGAATTTTATTTTTCGATAATTGTTTGACATTCTCGCGATATAATAATTTTTTAACAAAAAGCATATCGTGTGTTGTCTGGAAGCACAGTATTATTACATACAACACATTGGGTATGTTAATATAATACAAATACAACACATGGACTAATAACATATGTTATACATACAATACACGAAACAATTGATTTTAGCAAATGACATATTCTTATACAACACACATGTAATTATAAATAAACAACACAAGTCTCTATTACATACAACATGTATTATGTATAATAAGAACATGCGTTGTATATATGTATATTATGAATGTTGATTTAGAAATCAGTCAGGTGCTGAATTTTTCAAATAAGCATCATAATCATTCTCGTGTTAAAGCCTTTAATTGTATTACATTTCTCTCTACATTAATAACCATTCGATTATGCTTGTTAACCACTCTAAACATATTATAAACAATTAAATTATCTTAATTTAGATAACTATTTCTTTTATTTAGATATATTTTAAGGGTGTGTTTGTTTGAAGGATTTGTGAGGATTTCCACTATTCATCCTATTTTTTCTCCCAAAAATATTAAATCAAATACCTATTTTTCATTTTTTATATTATACTAAAAATTAATTTTACATTCAAAACATCACATCAACACCTATTTATATCACATCATACAACCATTCAAATTCAAAATTTTTATTATTCAAATCTCAACTCAAAATCCAAACTCCCGAACAAACACACCCTAAAAGTATTTTATATTTTGGATTGTTAATAAGAATTAAAAATAATAATAACGGGTGTGCGTTCGCACCCGTTATTCGATGATTGTGCTCCGAGTAAATTTCCGATCAAACTTAATAATCTACAAATTAAGCTCGAAAAGGTAAATCATACTAGGCGAACCATGAAATATGTTCTTTTACCATTTTAAACTAAAACCACCAAATATTCATTCGGCACAGTTTTCAATAAAAATAAACTATTTTCACTCATAAAATATCACATCAGTGATAAATTAAAACCATTTTACACATTTTTAATACTAATATTAAAATACATTTAATTTTTATATGAATTATAAATACATTATTATATATATACATAGAGGACAAATGATAAAATATTAAAATCATCTTACATATTTTTATTAATTAATAAATATAAAGTATTATTTTTTAATTTACGATGAAAACTCAAATATATATTTTCATTCCGAACGGATAGAACATCATCTTTTAAAGTAAGAGTTCAACCAAAAAAACATAAACATCATCATACCCCATCCATCCTAAATAATTTGGGCTTATTTCTGTACCTACGGAAGTTTAGATAAAAAATAATTAGTAAGTAATTAAAAATTGTATTAGTAAAAATAATTATTATATAATAAAAATAATTATAAATTAAAATTAATATAATTAAATAATTTAATTAAAATTAAGATAATCATAAATTATCAAATTTAAATACGATTAAAGTGTATAATTATAATTTTAGAAAAAAAAGATAAAATTTTGTAACACCAACGAAAATAGAAAATATGAACAAATTATATGAGATTAGATTGAGTAATTATTTTTACCAATTGTTATAACACACACGCAATTGTTAAAAATATTATGATATGCACACACTATCTCTCTCCCCATCTATTAAAAATAATTTAATTAAAATTAAGAAAATTATAAATTATAAAAATTAAAATATATATAATTATATTTTTAAAAATAAAAAAAATAAATTATATGGGATGAACAGAAATAAAAATATAAACAATTTATGTAGAACGAAAAGAGTATGTTATATTATTTATTATTCAAAATGTTTATTTTCTATTTTATATATAATTATACTATTTTTTTATAAAAAGAGATTACTTTTTATTATTTAAAAAAAATTATTTTTATCTATTTTTTTTTAAAAAAAAAATTAGATATTCTGTTAAATGAGTTTTTTTTTTATTCTTTATAAAGTTTCGTATTTGTACGTAATTTATACTTTCTCCGTCCGATTATAAAATATACATATTTTTATTTTGAGACGTCCAATTATAAAATAAATATTTAATTAAATATCTCATTTTTTTTCTCACAAATGCACTGACTTTACATCACATCTTTTATTTAAAAAAACAAAAACAAAAAAACAAAAAAAACAAAACGATAGACAAAAAAAATTCGTTACACTAATTTTAACTACGGAGAGAGTATTATTATGTGTGCATGAGCGTCCGTACGATAAATTTCAATTCTTGGATAAAAAATTGACAACTCGATCACTAATATATATATATACATACGTGCGTACATCTCTGATCTGAAACTCTGTGGTTTCATTGCTTAGAGTAGAAGAAAGCTGAAAGGCAACCAACCAATTACAGTGAGAACACAAATGCCGCCGGAAAAGATCGTTCTGCTCTCTCTTTTGGCGCTGCTTTTGACGTCGTTGGTCGATGGCGGCGAAGCCAACGGTCTGATGCTCACTCTGGAAAGAACGGCTCACGCCAACGCCCGACTTGGCGTAACTCAACTCAGACACCGAGATCGACTTAGGCACCGTAGAGTTTTACAGCAGCGCGGGGTTACTGATTTCCCCGTCGAAGGCACTTTTGATCCTTTTCGCGTTGGGTACGTGTCTTTGAAGCGTAATCGTTATTGTATTGAGCTTTTCGCGTCTAATTTGAGGAAGATCTGTGTGTTCTCTGTTTTGCCCTTTTCTCTATTGGAATTGGATTTGGAAACGGATAATTTGAGCTACAAATGTGATTTGTTTGAACTTATATGCATTAAGAAATTAATTTGTTTGTAGATTGCTTTCAGGCTTGGAATTAGGTTTTGGTGAGTGTTGTAGTGTAATTTCCTTTTTAATTTGTATAAATTTCTTCCTACATATCCGATTATTGATGGTTCTTGGCTGTTCCGTACATGCATTTTCAATTTTCTCTGGATATATGTCCATTGATGCAAGTGTTTGGAGGTTTGTGTTAATTGGGTCATATTTATTTTGGCTGGTGAATCTTATTCCACAGGTTGTATTTTACAAGAGTCAAATTGGGGAATCCGTCGAAAGAATTTTATGTACAGATAGATACTGGGAGTGATATGCTATGGGTGAACTGTAATCACTGCTCGGGTTGTCCTAAATCCAGTGGGCTCCAAGTATAGCATTCTTGTACTTCTTGCAAATCTCACTTGTATACACTTTGAAGGTTGGTTTCAAGCCTACATATGATATGATTTGTTGAATTCTGTCTTGTTATGTGTTTTTCAACAGATAAAACTGGAATTTTTTGATCCTTCAGCCTCATCGACAGCAAAGGCAATCTCGTGTTCTGATGACAGGTGCTCTTTGGGAGCACAATCTTCTGATTCTGGATGTAATGATTATAACCAATGCGGATACATGTTCAAGTATGGTGACGGCAGTGCTGCATCAGGGTATTACATATCGGACTCCTTTCATTTCAACACAGCAGTTGACAGTTCAGTGACTTCAAATTCTTCAGCCCCTGTTGTCTTTGGGTGGGTGGTCATGCATCTATATTAAATTATCAGGCATTAGTGTTTTTTATGATTATATTGATTAACACTTTTTTCGTCATGATACAGGTGTAGCACGGTAGTGTCTGGTGACCTTACCAAACCAGATAGGGCAATTGATGGTATATTTGGTTTTGGACAGCAAGGATTATCTGTGATTTCACAACTTTCTGCACAAGGAATCACACCAAATGCATTTTCTCATTGCTTGAAAGGAGAAAATGGTGGTGGTATATTGGTGCTTGGTCAGATCGTGGAGCCAAATATTGTTTACACTCCACTTGTTCCATTAGAGTATGTGTTTTCCCCAATTCACAACTTTCAGCGATTCTGTACACCATTTCATGCTTCTTTACATAATGCAAAATTGACTATACTTGATTTGATTTTCATATCAGGTCATGGGAATCTAATGGCTGTCTTCTTTTACCCTTACTGGTTGATGAATATAATGAATTGAATCACCTGCATTTGAGTGGATATGATCTTGAATCGTATGCTCTCTTATTTCTCAAAGAAATGAAGAATTCTGCTTGGCTTGTTTGGTGATAGATTTAGAATATGCTCTCATGTTTATGTTCCTGGCTTGTTTTTCAGTCCTATTATTTGACGAGTGCATAATATAAATTTTCAAAGGAATATGAAATTCTTGTTGCTTTCTTGGGTGATTGGTTCCATTGGCACTTCAAGTTGATTTACCTTCCAAAAAGCAAACATGAACTTGACTTCTCTGTTTCCTAGCAAGTGTTTGAACTGAATTGAATTTGAGTTTACATTATTCAACCTAGAATTTGTTGTTTTTCTTTATTTTTTATTTTGTGCCTTTTTTTTTCCTTGAATATTCTAAATATATTGTCATTGCAAAATCAGAGGGGTTAAGCTGAACCGACATATTTGGCTTTTTCTATAGTAAATTTTAGCCAGCCATGGATTGCTTTCCCGGTTGAATCCAACAATTAAATTAGTGGAAATGCATGACTGATTTCCAATTAGTAGAGTGGATTTCTTCACATTTCACTTTGATAGAGCTGTAATTCTTCACAATTGTTCTTTTCAATGATTAAGGTTATTTAGAAGTATATTTCCTCTGTTCTCTTGTTAGTTTCTTTCGACTGAAGGGCATAATCATTATCATAGGATAGTTAAGCAATTCCTCGGCCCTCGGCACTGCTTTTCTGTGAAAGCGAAGTGGCTAAACCCATGGAAATAAAATACCGGCATTAGTTTTTAACATAATCTTTTATGTGATGACTGGAGTTCTAATGGTTTAGAAAGAATCACAATATGTTAATTCAAGTGAGTCTATGTTCAGCATATTTTATTGGCTATTTTGAGGTACTTCCTAGTCAAGTTTCATACTCAATGTAGTCATTATAACGATGGAAGGAGATTCCATATATTGAATATGTTGACAGTAGCTTTCGAGAATGTTTTGGAGAATAACACTGTGAGCTTTTGAAGAACTGGAAGTGATTGGTTAGAGACGTTTATAAATCTTGTTTTTTCATTGTATGCATCCTCTTGATAATGGTCATATAGCACAACTTGATGTATTGACTCTATTGTCATAATTTTTAGGACGCATTACAATGTAAATCTTCAAAGCATAGCAGTAAATGGGCAAACATTAAACATTGATCGGTCAGTGTTTTCAGAGTCGGAGAATGGAGGAACTATAATTGATTCAGGGACAACGCTGGCATACCTTGCAGAAGAAACTTATGATCCCTTTGTGACCGCAGTACGTTACAGAAAAATGTTCTTAATTTATTTCAATACTGATTATGCATATCATTGGGTTCATTTTCCAGTTGGATTTCATATTATCCTGATGCCAAAAAGGTCGTGTTTCTTCTCTCTGCAGATTACTCGAAGCGTTTCACAATATGTTCGCCCGCTCCGATCAAATGGTAGCCAGTGCTATCTCACTACCGCCAGGTTTTTCATATGTCCAACTATTCTTCTCCAGCCATTTCTCTCGTCAAATAGTCATTCTTAGTTTGTTTATATTTTCTTCACAGTATCTCTGAGAAGTTTCCTCCAGTTAGTTTAAACTTTGCTGGTGGTGCAGCGATGATCTTACGGCCAGAAGATTATCTTTTGCAGCAGGATTCTGTTGTAAGTCATCTTCTGATATATTTGAAATAGAGACCTTATTATTTATGATAAATACTCATTTTTTCTTAACAGTATGTTAAAATTCAAGCAGGTGAATGTGGAGCTGAGAACTTTATCTTAATTGAAACTCTCTTATGCTTCTTATTTGATATTTATCTGTGATCGGTCATATATGCTGTTTCACTGATATTTCATTCTGTCGAATGCATTTCAGAAAAATAGGACCATGATTATAATAATTATGATCAAGACTTCCATCACAAAACAATATTCTTTCTTATGTATTCTGAATAGTGATGTTAGTGAGGTGAAATCATGATTAATGAGCCATTGTTATGCTACTATCAGTTATCCTTCTCTTATATATCTTCACGAGTACTTAAGAATTAATTCCTTGGCATTGGTTTGCATGCACAGGGTGACGCTGCCATGTGGTGCATTGCCATTCAGAAAATTGAGGGTCAAGGGATTACGATTTTAGGAGGTATGTATGAAGAGCATCATCTTTCCTCAACTTTTAATCGTTGAATGATAAAAGAGCTAAAGAAGTAAACTAGACTGAGTAACTTAAAGCCAAATCTTGTATCGAAGAGCTAACAATGTACTAATTATATCAAACTGGTCTTGTTGATATATATATATATCATAATGATAGCTGATTTCTTGGTATTTTGGTACTACTACTATATCTTTCTTTGTGCATTTCTGTCATTTATCTCTGTTTTTCCGAACAACATATTTTTGTATGGCTAGAAATATAAGATTAGACCTCTCAGGTGTTGTTTTTGATACATATCATCTTTTTCCTGTTTCATTGCTCATCAACTGAAGATCTCATCCTCAAAGACAAGATAGTCGTGTACGATTTGGATGGCCAGAGGATTGGATGGACCAATTATGACTGTAAGCTTCACTGCTTCTGCTCTATTTTGTCATAGATAATTCAGATCTTGTTGGGGACTCCCATATGTTAGAAAAATAGTTAATGATCTATCTTTTTAATAGTTTAAACTTTTAGGTCAGAGGATTATTCCGATAACAGTATCTTCATTTCTTCTTCAATATGCAATATATTTGGGATAATGTTTGTGAAGAACACAATGAAATGTTCTTTTGTGAAGACATACCCTCTCTGTAGACCCAAATATATGCTCATTTGACCTGAATAGAGAAATATAGTACTCCCTTTATTCCAATAAATATATTTTTTTAGTGAATTAAAAAATAAGTAGTATTTATTGGTAGGTGAAAATACATAAAAATAGTTTTGATATTTTTGTCCTTGTAGGTAGATAATAAATGAATATTTTTTTTAAGTTAAAGATATTTTGATATGTGTATATGAATTAATAGAAAATAGATACTTTTGAGTGTGAATAACAAAAATAGTTAAAAACAAATACATTGAGTTGGGACGGAAAGAGTATTTTATCAGTTTATCCTAATATAAAGTAAAAATATTTTGAAAAATATACGAGCATATCAATGAAGTGATAAAATTTTAGATGAATTATACGTATTAAGAGTGTTTTTACATATTTTTTGTGCATAAAAATATGTGCATAAAAATATATATATATAAAAAAAAAAAAGAAGACGGGGAAATATATGGTTTGTAGTGCATAGTATCTAGTTTTTCGATACACTGATATGGTTTGTATATCTCTTTATAGGTTCATCCCCTGTAAATGTATCGACCAGAAGTAGTCGGGATAAAACCGAAGTTTCAAATGCCGGACAAGTGGAGCATAAGAACTCAGCACATTGCAAGCTTTACAAGGTAATACCAACCTCCATGTCCATGATACCTTTGCTGCTTCAAACCACATTATTATATTGCATTCTACCATTTTTGTGGAATTGATTGTTCCATTTATGGCAGTTTCAGTTGTTAAATTTTACATTAATTCTTTAGTTCCTTGTTCTTATAGAGAGCCATAAAGCAATATAGATATAGATATAGATTTTGTAGTAGAAATGAAATCTTTTTGTGTGACAGATTGAAGCCTTTCGGGTAGCTGCTCATTTTTTTGTTGTTGCTTTGATTTGGTTTCATCTTCTGTAAATATTTCATTTGGTTTCACTTTTCATGTACAGAAAAATTCTACATTGGTTGTTATTTAATTGAATAAATGAAAATGAAAATTCTGATGTTATTGTAGGGTGTGCTTGTTAGGGGTTAATGGAAAAATATCATAATATTAATATTGTACTAAATTATTCTATAACATAGAAATTAAAAAATATGGTGGTATAAAAACATGAATAGAAGGCCTAAAGATTGCATTCAAATAAACTTGGAGGGAATTTTACTTTTCTTCAAATTTTGCATCTTAAGAATATTAAATTAAATATATATTTTTTATATTATATTAAAAATTAATTTTATATTAAAAATATTGTTTATTTATATTACATAAATAACTATTAAAATTTTACTATTTAAAATTAAAATCCCTAACATACTAAAACTATTGTTGGTCGTATTCATAAGTATATCTTTCTAATTGTAGTATAAATAAATCATATTTAAATACTTTTTATTTTTACAGAAAAATATTTATTTTCATTGTAATTTTAAGGGAGAACTTGATAAATAAATACTATTCCCTTTGTGTTAAGTATGTTTAAAAAGTTTAAGAAAGATTAATATTTAAATTGTACTCTCTCTCTCTCTCTCCCCGCTTACAAAGTTTACATATTTCTATTTTGGAACGTCTAATTACAAAGTTTATATTTCATTAAATACCCTACTTTTTTCCACAAATACTCTTACTTTACGTCATATCATTACTTTTACACAAAAAAAAATAAAGGTACAAATGTCATTACACAACTTTTAATTACTCACTATAATTAAAATATTATTATTTCTTAAACACCGCGCCAAAAGTAAATGTAACCCTTGTAAATGGACAGAGGGAGTATTAGATAGTCAAAATTAGTGTAAGAATACTTTTATCATTATTTTTTTTCGTAAAAATAATGATGCGATGATAAAATAAAGAAATATGAAATATATACATTGAGGCAGAAGACAGGAGTATTATTTTTTATCTACTAAAAATAATATTCCCACTGACCTTTAATAATCTATACATTTTTTTTATTTTGATCCGTCACATAATAAAGTATCCATTTACTTTTTTAGTAATTGTACTATCAATCTAACATTATAAATATTATTCCAATTTACAATATATTATACAAATATTATTATTTTTATATCATACAATACTAATAGGATTAATTTAGTCTTTTTATATTTATTTTTACTTTATCCCAATATAATACTAATATTTCTAAAATTTCATATAAAAAATAAATAAATATATAAATATGGAACGAAAGGAGTATATATGTAATAAATTGAGACTAAAAGAGTATTATTTTTAAAAATATATGTATGCTAAATAATACTCCTTCCATCCTGTTTCCATATTTGATCAGTTCATTTTAAAAATTTACATTTATTAAAAACTGTGAATTCTACAGTTAACTATTAATATTTTATTACAAATGCATATTGTTACGTATGAAATTTAGAATTAGGTTAAAAAGCCCAAGGTAAAAGAAAAATGGGCCTGGCAATAGAGTTGATTGAACTGGCTGAAGGACACTGTGGGGAACTCAAGGATAATAGGTTTATTTCTAAGGAAAATACAGGTCGGAAAGACCTCAGGTCAGAAGGTCCTCAAGTCGGGAGGTCCTCAGGTCGGAAAGACCTCAGGTCGGAAGGTCCTCAGGTCGGGAGGTCCTCAAGACGGAAAGTCCTCAAGACGGAAAGTCCTCAGGACGGAAAGACCTCAGGTCGGAAGGTCCTCAGGTCGGGAGGTCCTCAAGACGGAAAGTCATCAGGACGGGAAGTCCGCAGGTCGGGAGGTCCTCAGGTCGGAAAGTCCGCAGGTTGAAAAGTCCTCAGGTCGGACAGGTCGGGAGGTCCTCAGGTCGGAACTCTGCGGCGGGACCAACAAGTCGGATGGTCTGTTAGTCGGGAGGTCTGTAGCTGAACTAAGCAAGTCAGATGGTTTGCAAGTCGGGAGGATTGGCAGTCGGACCAATACGGTTGTAAATTGGCAGTCGGGCCAAAAGGGCGGAAGGTCTATGGTCGGCTCAAAGAGTGAAATATAGTGACAACTTTGGTCTGCTGAGGACACGTGTCAGCAGGAGAAGAGTTGGAAGACGGTTGGAAAGGAGACGTTGTAACCGTTCGGGCGACGGTTTTCAGTACAGTTTCCCAGAGAATATTTAAGGGTTTGGATCATCATTTGGCAAGGCATCTTCAATCAACTTCAACAAAGCAAAGTCAGATTTGGGGATCACCACTTTAAATTTCAGTCTTTTATTTTCCAGTTTATTTTCTGTACCATACAGTGTTTAGAGATTCCTAATCTCAGGCACTAATTAATCAAGTTTAAGGATATTTTCTATATCTTTGAATTTTACTTTATTTTTGTTGAAAAATTACATCAACACATATAATGTTATCTTCATTTTATTATAAATTTATATCAAAGTAAAAACACTTTAATTTTTACATTATTATACATATATTTATTACTATTAAAATATTAATATTATTTAATTTACATATAAAAAATAAATATTAACATTAGAAAGAGAATATTTATTACAAAGTTTTCAAAAAACAAAAAAACGCATCCCCAAATGTAGAGATAATGTTGAAACTTGAAAGCAAAGGCCCAATCAAAAGTGTTGTTCTCAAAATCTTAACTGTAAGTTGTGAGAGTTTGCTGCCTCAGATCAATTTATTTTATTTTATTTTATTATTTTATTGGATTATTTAATTAATTATTATTTTATTTTTTTATGGGTAATTGTTATTAGGGTCAGTCAGTCAGTCAGTCATCAGTCAGTCTGCGCAAGCAAAAGATCTTTTCTTTCCATCTTACCTTTCCCAGAATAAATACATTATTATTATTATTTTATTAATATTAATATTAATATTTTAATAATAGAATATATGAAAAAATCCCCCAGAGTACGCTCCCCAATACAATAATACTGCCTGATTCTGTGACTGTGCGTCTGTCAGTCACCCCCAGGTGACGCAATCATCGCCAGGTTACAGCCAGCCTGTCACTTTCACATTAAGCTGTTTATTTATTTATTTATTTTTATACACACCGCACAAATAATACTAATAAGTAATAAGCTCATATTAGTTACGTCAGTCCAATCAATCTGTTCATAGGTTGAGGAAACGACAATTTTATTTATTTATCTATAATTTTTATCATTGAATTTTAAATTTTTGGTGTTTTCCTTGTAGGATTTATATAGTCACTTTGTTGTATGTATCATATCTATCTTGTCGTTTCTATCTGTCTCATATATTATGTCATTTTTTAAAAAATAATTACATATTTTAATCTCATTTTAAATTTTTTAAATTTATTTTTAAAAAAATTAATTAAACTAATTAATTATTTTAATTTTAATTTATAATTATTTATATTATAGAATAATTATTTTCACTAATATATTCTTAATTATCTACTAATTATACCCTTTCTAAAATACCGTGTCTACAGTGTAGCAGACACGGTACGTGGGACGGAGGTAGTAATTTTTTTTTTCTAGAATTTAAAAAACTGGATACTTTATTTAATATTTATAACGAATATTTTATAATTTTATTTTTAAAAAATTTACTCATCAAAATATTTATAAATGCATATATAAATAGAGTTTTTAGAGTGTATTCTTTTGAAAATTTTTACTTAAAATTATCTTATTCATCAATTTTTTTATAAAAAAATATTAAATTAAATTTTTATTCTTTTATTTTTTTATATTATATTAAAAATTAATTTTATAATTTAACTATTACATAAATACATATTTATATAAATAAAAATTGACTTTTTGATAAACAGCGGGTGTGTTTACTTGTGAGATTTTGGTTTTTTGTTTTGGTTTTGAATAGTAAAATTTTGAATTGAAATAGTTGTTTGATGTGATATAAATATGTATTGATGTAATGTTTTGAATGTAAAATTTAATTTTTGTATAGTATAATAAATAAAAAATAAGTGTTTGATTTGATATTTTGAAAAAAAAAAAGTTGAAATAGTAAAACAGAAAAACAAATTTCACAAGTAAACACACCATTTTAGGCCCGTCTCAAAGCCAATGATATATGATTATAATTTATATATAATATAATACTCCCTCCGTCATTTAAGTGTGTGTTTCTTCAAGGGAGTTTGAAGAAAGTTGAATTTGGGCTTGGTTTTTATTTGAATTTTGTGATGAGTTTGAATTTAGTTGTTTCTTTTGTGTTTGGGTTTGATTGGGATTTGGGGAGTTTTTTATTAATATTGATTTGATGGATAATGAATAAAATAATATAAATGTGTATTAAATTTAATTGATAAAATTTATATTATATGATTTGATTATGAATTTATATTATACCCAATATATATATTTAAATTTTTATTTATTTGTATTATAAAAATTTTATTTTCTACCAAAGTAACATATATATTGTATATATATTATAATAAATATTAAATAAAATTTTAAATTAAAAAAAAAAAAAAGAGGTTTGGCGCCAATTTTACTGTGCAGTATATGGACAGTTGGACAGTAAAATTGTGCCAAACCACCTTGGGGAAACACATCCCATTTGACCGGACACGTGTTTTAATAAAAGTGAATAATAATTGTTAATGTTTCTTTTTATAGTAAAAAAAAGTACAAAAATGGAATGATTTTTTACTTAAAAAGAAAATAAGAATATTTTTCGATGACAATCCAAAAAAAAAGTTTGCATAAATTTGAATGACGGAGAGAGTATATTATAATTTTAACACAATAAACAAATTATATAGTATAATACAATATATAACTAAAATACAAAATATTGATACAATAAGGGTGTGTTTGTTTGGATGATTGGATTGGATTTACACTATTCATCCAATTTTTTCCTCCAAAAAACATCAAATCAAACACCTATTTTTTATTTTTTATATTATACTAAAAATCAATTTTACATTCAAAACATCACATCAACATCTATTTATAT